TTTTGTTTGTTTGTTTGTTTTTTGTAATAGCTATTCTAATGGGTGTGAGATGATGGCTTATGGTGGTTTTCATTTGCATTTCACTGATGATTAGTGATTTTGACCATCTTTTTAATGTACTTGTGCATTTGCATATCAGCTTTAGAAAAACAGCTATTCAAGTCCTTTGCTTATTTTAATTTGGTTATTTGGTGTTTTTATTATTGTTATATGAGTTCTTTATATATTTGGATATTAACCCCTTGCCAGGTATATATGCTTTACAAATATTTTCTCCCATTCTGTAGGTTGTCTTTTTATTTTGTTGACTATGTCCTTTGATGCAGAAAAGTTTTTAAGTTAGTCAGTTTATTTATTTTTGCCTCTGTTGCCTGTGATTTTGGTGTCTTATCCAAAAAAATCATTGCTAATTCCAATGTCATGAAACTTCTACCTTTTCATCTGTAATTTCTATAGTTTTATGAGCCACATAATATCACATGGAAAGATTTATGCATAATGTAGTTATTTAAAGATACTGGCAAACTATTTTCCTGAATGGCTGTGCTATTTTACATTCCCATTAGCAATGGAGAGAGATCCAGTTTCTCCACATCCTCAACTGGGGATCAAACCCCTAACAAACCCCAAGGCATGTGCCCTGACCAGGCATTGAACCCACAACCTTTTAGTGTACTACATGTTACTCTAACCAACTTAGCCACTTGGCCAGGATACATTTTATTTTTATTTTAGCTCTTCTAACACATGTAGTGACACCCCACTATGCCTTAACTTGCATTTGCCTAGTGGTTAGGGATGTTGAACATCTTCCCATGTACTTATTTGTCTTCCATATATGTCAGTGAAATGTGTCTTCATGTCTTTTTCACGGTTTTTAGATTATTTGTTTTTCTTTTACTGTTGAGTTTTGAGTTTTTCTGTATATTCTAGATTTTATTCTTCTGTTAGATATTTTGTGGTTTCTAAGAACTTTCCCCCACTCTACAGTTTTTCTTTTTACCCTCTTAATGGGGCCTTTTACACAGCAAAGCATTTAGTTTTGGCAGAGTCCAGTTTATCATTTTTTTCTTTTATGAACTGTTTTGATAGCCAGCCTAAGAATAGTGTCTGAAAGATTTTCTCCTACATTCTTCTAAAAGTGTTATAGTTTTATACTGTACATTTAAGTCTATGATCCATTTTGGGTCTATTTTTGTATAAGGTATGAGGTTTAGGTTAAGGTTCATTTTTTTCTCTCCTATTGATGCCCAACTGCTCCAGCATCATTTGTTAAAAAGGCTGTCCTCATGGACTTGCTTTTGCACTTGACACAAATGAGTTGGCTATATTTGTGTGGATCTAATTCTAGGTTCTCTATTCTGTTCCATTAATCTAACTTTCTGTTCTACCAATGTTACAAATAGAAAATATTGAAGAGATAATTGGCAAAACATATTTATTTCCTTTAAAAATATGGGTATGAATTGTTTACAAAGTTGTTTTTTATTATTCCTAATCTCTTTCATTTCATGCTAGGTTATTTTGTATTTGTTCATTTTTATTTGTCATGTATTTCAAAAATTTTCTCAAGTTCATAGTTGTGGGAGAGATACATCTTAAATTTAACTAAGTTTTTCCAATATTATAGCACTTATTAGCTTTGCCAGTCAAATGAATGTGAAATAATATCTTTAATTGTTTTCTATGTGTTATTGTTAGGTTTGAAAATGTGGCTTTCTTCTGTGTGTGTGTATTGACCTGTGTGGAACAAAATTCTGGACTACCAAATCTAATAGGATCATAGAATGTTTTGTTTTTCTATTTACATAATGGTATTTACAATGTTAACTGATTTTTTCCTTCTCTTACTCACATTTTATTGCCCTTATTTCTTTTCCTTTAAAACATTTTTTTTACTATGTTGACTAAAACCTTAATACTTAGGTAGGATAGAAGCCTTTCTTTTCTAAAATTGGAACACAATTTAAACTAGTAGTAAACATTTATAGGTGTTCTAAAATAAGCCATTCTTTCATTCCACAAACAAATTGCACCCTCCTGGCTTCATTTACCTAATAATCATGTAGACTATTTGCATATGTAGTTATAAATGAGATTGATCTCTAACTCCCTTTCTTGTCCTCATTTGGTTTTGATAGCAAGTTTATGCTAATTTACAAAAGGAGTTGGGATAATTTCCATCTTAGTGCCTCAGTAATAAAGTTCAATAAGTTTTGAGTTGATTGCCTCCAAACTATATTTCCTATAACTTTGTTTTATTCAGTGACTGTCCTACAGATTGATAGCAGCACATACACAAAGGTAACTGATCCACTCAAAACTAGACAAAAAATTTTCAGTGCTCAATATATTTCCAGAATATGAATACATCAAAGTTTAGACCATTTAAAATCAAAACATGGAAGGAAGAAGAAACTGCTGCCCTTTGTGACAGCATGGATGGAACTGGAGAGCACTATGCTAAGTGAAATATGCCAGGCAGTGAAAGTCAAATACCATATGATCTCACCTATAAGTGGAACCTAATCAACAAAGCAAATAAGCAAGCCAAATATAACCAGAGATATTGAAATTAAGAACAAACTGACAGTGACCAGGTGGGGGGGGGGAGGGGGATAATGGGGCAAAGAAGGGGAAGGGTCATCAAGGAACATGTATAAAGGGCCCATGGACAAAGACAATGGCGAGGTAGGGGAAGGATTGAATGTGGGAGGTAGGGAAGGGTAGGTTGGGGGAGAGGAATGAGGGGAAAATGGGGACAACTGTAATTGCACAACAATAAAAAAACTAAAAAAAAGACTTTTCAGGAAAAATATATTTGTTAAAATACAAAAAAATCCAAGTATGAGGAATTATTTAACACAACAATCTATATAACATCAATGTTTTTCCTTTTTCTTTGTTTTAATTGAATTTATTGGAGTGACATTGCTTAATAAAATTATATAGGTTTCAGGCATACAGTTCTACAATACATCACCTGTATAAAGCTCAATCTTTTATACATGTATGGATTTGAAATTTAATAGCGGTAGCTTCTGATTTTCTAAGTTATAAGGGATTAATTTACAAAGTACTCTCAGTGCCCCTTTTTGACAGCCTGAGAGGGTTGCTCAATGAATCATGAGCTGTCACTGCACACTCGGTAAACTTTAAGACCCTCTTCAGGATGTAAAATCTAGAAGACTATTGTGTTTATTAAATTATTCTCCACATTTGACTGTGTGCTACTCAGTACATGACACTGTGACGCCATTGGCTTTACCTCTTTAGGTTTTTCAGTGGTTCTAAAGATTCCCTGGCTCCTGCTGGCAACCCAGGAAAGTTATGGGAGTCAAAGTGTGTTGAGAATCCAAGTCAATGATTCAAACATGGTGTAGTTTTCTAAACAGATTTGAAATTAGAAGATATTGTTCGTCCACTGTTAATGAGCTCTCAGAGTCTGTCTGGGACAATGATCATGGCTTTTATCAAACATATGTGGAGAAATTTGTTATTTCATAACTGCTATTGCCTTTGTATTTAGATCATTAGAAAGGCTTATTTCACATGTGGCTATTTAGTACTCCTAACGTCACTCTAACAAATACTTATTAAAAATTTTATAAAAACATAGATTCTAAAACATTGTAAAATGCTAACAAACAACCAAAACATAATCCTCTAATGCTGCTTCTTTTACCTCCCCCATATATTTTAAATAGCTGTTTGTAGAGAATTACTGTCTGTTATTTTTTTGAGCCTTTATGATTGTCATACAACCATCTCTTTTGGTCTTGGACAAGTCACAGCCTCTCTTAACTTAGTTTTCTTTACTTGCAACATAAGGAATGTCATGCCTGGTGCTTGTCAGAATAACATTTTGCAAAACATCAAGTGAAAAAGAAATGGAAATATATTGTCACAACTTGCTGTTCTTTCAAGGGAATAGGGCACCTTTCCAAAGATAAAGTAGCAGTACCCTTACTGCATGATATTTCTAGATACAGCATATGATGGACCACATTTTTGTGCATGCAAAGTTACTTTTACTTTCTTAAGACTTACATCATAAATATCTTAAGAGAAGGTCATATAAACACTTATGTGAACCTTTTTTGTAAGCTAGATTCTAGAATTTTTGGTGCTTTAACATTACTTTTCTACTAATAGAAAAATTTTAACCAAATGGTAAATGTATGACTTAGTACAATTCCATTTAAAGTGTTTTGGGTGGTGTTAGTAGGAAATAACACCATCTTTTAAAAAAAGTAAGTATTTTCACTCACAGGACAGAGAACTCAGTTTGTTAATGATTATGTGGGTAAGACAAAGAATACAACAGCAACAATTCTATCTATGATTTTGAATTGCCAAGAGAAAAATCTCCATTTCATTGATTAACCTTTATACTTATCCATTGTTAGGGCTCTTAGAAATGGATGTTATCAATCACTAGGAAGAGTGTTTAGCAATAAATTGCTGAAAAATTATCGTGTCATAAACCATTGGTAGCATACCTATGTTCTTTATAAACAATTTATAGCTTACATATATTTTATTACATTAGATTAGCAGAGTCATCATGATATGTAAAACCAATGTTATTAGGGTATGTGGGAAGACTTAGAATGGCATTCTGCCAAATTTTATCATATAAAGTTCAGTCAGCATTATTTAATTAGATGAAGGATCTTAACACGGTGGTGATACTTTTAGGGCTTTGGTGTAGCTTGAAAGAAATAAGAAAACATGGATTCTTAGATGTTAAACAAAACCACACACCTATATCTAATTCTATTATTTTTTATTACCATGAAATCTTAAGTAAGATGTTAATTCTCTTTGTTTTTTTCCCAATCTGTGAATAGAGCTTGACATTTATATGTCAAGCAGAAAGAGGAATGAACAAGTTTCTCACTTGTGTGATGGGTAATAGGAAATCAAATATGTTCTATAATGCTACTATATTTGTTGTAATAGTGGCTCTAGTGACTTTCCCATTATGTTTCTTTCAGGTTGCTTTCAGCTATGTAATATTTTTAGATCTCATGAAATGGAAATTGACCAGTGCTTGCTGGAGACCCTTCCCCTTGGCCAAAGGCAGCGACTGGTGAAACGCATGCGCTGTGAACAAATCAAAGCCTACTATGAAAGAGAGAAGGCTTTCCAGAAGCAGGAAGGAGTCCTGAAAAAACTGAAGCATGGGAAGAATCAGAAAGTTCACTTTAACCTTGCTGATATGATACAGGATGCAATTATCCACCATGATGACAAAGAAGGTACATGACTCACAGAAAAAAAGTTTTCTGATCTGGTTTTTCATGGTTATTTGTTAGTTTGTTGGTTTTTGTGGCGGGGGGCGGGGAATGAAGGGTGGAATTTATTTTAAATATTAGGACCTATGTTTTTAAACTGAGATATTCAAGAAAAAATCATATTTTTAATAAATATATTAAAAATCTCAAGTTTTTAGTAAAGCTAAAAAACAGAAAACCCTGGCTGGCGTAGCTCAGTGGATTGAGCTCGGGCTGCAAACCAAAGCATAGCAGGTTCGATTCCCAGTCAGTCGACATGCCTGGGTTGCAGGCCTCGGCCCCCAGCAACCACACATTGATGTTTCTCTCTCTCACTCTCTCTTTCTCTCTCCTTTCCCTCTATAAAAAATAAATAAATAAAATCTTAAAAAATAAAACTCACAAAATTTTGATAAAATTGTTGTGTATTTTTTTTAGAATTGCCTTCCTGAAAAGCAAATGATTGTCTTGGAAAATTGTTCATTCCAATTGTTAAGGAAACTTTTTAAAGTGCAATTGTTTCCTTTGAAGATTAGATTATGTTGCAAAATTTATTATTATCTTATTCCTGAATAGATATATTCAAATAGTCAGTTCTCCTCAAACTCAGGATGTCAGATTGAATTGGTTTATCCCTTAAAAATACTGGCTTGTAATATCAAGTTTTATTAAGAATATTCAGTGCAAGTTTCATTTGTTTAAAAATAACTATTAAGCTTTTATCTTTCATGTATTTTTGTGTATGATTTTTTCTGGGTTTTTTGTTTGTTTTTAGAATATAATTTCCAAAGTTCTAATGTGAAAGAAACCATCTAGCTATAGGTGCAAATATGGAACACTTCAAGGAAGCAAACATAAAATACCTTATGTTGATTGGCTCTAAAACCAGTGGTTAAATTAATCTAAAACAGTCAATCAAAGAGTATAGACCTACAGTCCATTAAATAGGTTTCAAAGTCAAATCTCTGAAAATCAGTTTTTTGAAATTTATTTAGTAGAAAAACTCTTCCTGAGCTATTTATAGTTTTTATTCTGTTCAATCTGGAAAAACAATACATTTAGTAACATAACATGGTCCCAAAGCTTTCAAAGAGCGATCATGGTTCTGTATCTAAGAAAACTGCCAGCATACTATATACAACAATAGCTATAATAAGAAGACTAAAGTAGTTCTTTTCATGGTTTTGTGCTTGTTAGTCAAACCAGAATACTCTGAGTTCTGAGGTTTTTTTTAATGCAGTGACAGTGGTAGAGTATCTCTGAACAGGGAAGTGCCTGCGGATCATCTAGTCCAATGCCATCATCTTGCACAGGAAGGAACAGTCCCAGAGCACTCTTACCTCTCATTTTGTTATTCTTTTCTCACTTGTAGCTTTTCATTTAATGGTCATCTCCTCTGTGAAGCTCTAAGCACATGCAAGGGCAGGGGCACTGTCAGCCAAGTTCACTGCATCCTATTGCTCATCCCAGTACCTTCCAGCAGTATTGAGAGAAAGAGTGAACAGGTTTGTCTAAGTTCAAGAGACAGTAGTTGTCAGAGCAAATCTAAATTACAATGCAGGCAGATTTAAGCCCAATAGTGATTTAAAAGTAATGAAACAAGAAAAAGTTATTTTCAAAGTTGTAAAATCTCTTGTATAAAGTATTTACGGGGTGAAATAATGCCTCAATTAAGGCTAAAATGAAATTAAAATACTAAAACAAGAAATCTGGAGACCAAGAAGAAACTATTATGTCTAAATAATAATATAATGTCCCCAAAATATTATAATTTGGATGGGAAATTTTGAAGTCATGATTACGTTTAACCTGGGTTTTATTGAAGAAGTTGCTCTTTGTATTTGTTTTTTGAATTGCAATGAAGAGAAAGAATGGAACAGTAAGGGTCCACAGTTTGTATGGTGAAATGACCAACATAAAGTATGCAAAATAATAGGGACAATAGGAAGCAAACAAAAAATACACACACAGAGAATATTTTTTGTACTCTTGTTCAACACTGTACTAAATTCTTCTTACACACTATCTTGTTTATTCTTTCAGACAAATGTAACACCAGAAATTCTGAAGGTTCTTAGAAAATAATGCTGTCAGAAAGACAAGTTACATAACTTTATTACATCCAGGAAATAATTTTATTACCAATGGAAGCAAAGATTATGTTTAGTAACTAAGGTCAACATTAGTATCAATGATGAAATAGTTTAATGACTTTCATAACTCAACAAGAGTTTGAATTTATGATCAATTATCAAAATTTTAAGTACATTATTGCAATATAAATTAAATATTTGTCCACAGTGGGGTCTTAGCTCTTGACTGCCATAAGAAAACATTATGGAATGGGTGGCTTAAACAACAGACATACATTTCTCGCAGTTCTGGAGGTTGGACATTCTAGGAACAACACGCCAGAATATTTGGCTATTAAGAGCACTTTACCTAGCTTGAAGATGACCATCTTTTTATTCATTGTATCTTTACATAGTGGAGAGAGGAAGCTCTGGCCTCTCGTCCACTTCTTACAAGGGTACTAAGGTTACCATGAAGGCTCCACCTTCATGATTTTATCTAGTCCTAATTACCTCCCAAAGCCCCAACTTGTGACTATGGGTTAAAGCTTCAATAGATGAATTTTGTGAAAGCCAAATAGTTATTCAAAACTTACCCATGTATGAAATAAGGGCCATATCTTGTATTTCTTTTGAGTCTCTCATTGACTTTGGAAACTTCCACATCAATTCCAATATACATTACTGTATCAGGAAAAGTATTGATTTCTTGCAAATTTAAAAATTAAATTGCATTAGAAATGTAAGCAGTCTCTTTGGAGGCATTATAACCTCTCTAGCATATGTTTTACTTCTCCTAGAACTATAACCATGAAAAAGTTTACATTTGGTTATGATAGTCATATTTTTCATTTATTTTTAAGCTACTCAAGTAGTCAAATGTACACATTTATACAATTGAGACAGTAAAATAATATTGCCACAAGAACAAGCCCTTTTCATTTAAGTAATTGTTTAAATCTTTTCAGATTGTGTATTATTTTTAAAAATCTTAGTTCCAAGTACTTTCATTAGCTTACTGAGTATAAGTGTTCCAGAGGACAACACACTAAGGTTTATAGTAAGTCATTTAGAAGCAATTCAAGATTTTTATTTTTATAAATATTGAATTTTTGTAAGTGTAAATTTAGTACCTTTGATGCTTTATTGTTTCTGGAAGATGGTGACATTTTAGTGTGTAATGTGTCATTTTAATATACAGCATAAATCTAAAATGTGTTCAACAATTCTTTTCCATCTTACAGGAAACTGTTGTAATTCAACTTCCTTTGAGTTATAACATGTGAAATAAACATGTAATTTATAAAGGTAATATAAATTACAATGTAGTGACTTCATTATTCTTTCACCATTTAACACTTTTCAGGCATACTCAGCTCTGTCTGTGCTTTACATGACCTTAGTCACTTAATTCTTTGATAACCATATGCAGTAGGTATTATGTCCTCCCCATTATAAGGGTGAGGATATTGAACCTTAGAAGAACTAATTACAGGTACTCTTCAGTCCACCTGAATTTGGAAACCATGTTTTGTCCATGATATCATACTGTCTCTCACATTGATTTCTTTTTTTAACCACTTTGTTGAGTTATGATTGACATACAAACAGCTGTACATATTTATTGTGTACACATTGATGAGTTTGGAGATAAGCAAACACCTGTGAAAGCATCACCAGAATCAAGGCCATAACTTACTTATCACTACCAAAAGCTTCCTTCTGGCCCCTTAATTTTTAAAAATTAAATTATTTTTCATTTATGGGAACAGCACTTAACATGTTCCTTTTCAAGCTGATTTCTGATGATAAATGAACTAAACCATCAATTTTGCACAGCGATTTGCTTCCATGGCCATTTGGCATTCTTTCCTCTTCTTACCTAGTTGAGCTCTTGGCCCACTGTCAGGGAATTGCCAAAGGCAGGGACTGATATTCTTTATGCTCTAGTGTTTTCTCTCCTCTTTCCCTGGGCAGCCCACCAACTCCCTCCACCCCACCCCACCTTTTTTTTTTTTTTTTTTACAATTTAAGGGCATTTACTTGTTAATTTTTTATGCTGAATATTTACTGAGGGCTTGTTCCAGCCACACAAAGAACTTGTGAGTATAATTATAGACCTGTAATATCAAACTTCATGTATAACTTCATGCAAACTTCATCTTCATTTTTAAAGATTTTATTTACTTATTTTTAGAGAGAGGAAGAGAAGAGAATCCAAGGGAGAGAGACATCGATATGACAGAGAAACATTGATTGATTACCTTTTCCATGTGCCTTTACTGGGGATTGAGTCCACAACCCAGTCATGTGCCCTGACCAGTAATTGAAACCTTTTGCTTTGTTGAAGACACCCAACCAACTTAGCCACATGGGTCAGGGCTATATTTACATTTTAACCTAAAATTCTAAGTAGTCTCTTAGGAAAATGGAAAACATCAGATTACAACAATGTGAGACTATTTCTTTCTCCTACCTCTTAGACCCTTGGTCCCAGTTTTTTTGGAGGGATAAGGTCGAAGGTCCATGATCTACAGCTCTTATCCTAACTCTCTTCTCTTTCCATGCCTATCCTCTCTGGAGAGCCTCACCTTTTCCCCTTGCATTCACCTCCACCCACTCCAGTGATTCCCAAATTGTATTCAGACCTTTCTCCTGAGTTCTAGACTCTACCTTTGTGATGGTCATACATTTCTAAGTTATCTTTTTCAATATTGAATATCTGGTTTCATCTCCTTCCAAATCAAAATTATCTCTTCTATTCTCTATTTTAGTTGATCACTTTCCTGGCATTATAGCCCAGAAATCTTGATGCCATGTTGCTTCAAGTACACATTTGTAAAGCGTTGATGATTGTACCTCCTCAGTGTAATTTGCAGGAAGTATCAGTTTGTATATTATCCAGAGCCTTCT